GGCAAGTTTAGGTAATGAAATGGTAGCGTTCACACAACGCTCATGACTGGCAAAATCACGTTGGGGTTGCTGTGGAACCAAGGTAAGGTTGAAATTTTAGTACAACCCGAATAAGCAAAACTTTCGGGGGCAAAGCTAAGTGAAATTCATTGACATCATCAGGCCTATTCATTCCGATATAAAAAAAACTCCACTATCAATCTTTAAATCACCTTAAACGACCTAAGGTGACTAAAATGTTATTAAAAAAATAGCTGAGAGTTCCAAAACCAACTAAAAAATTACCTATCTACAAAAGCCATTATATCATTCATGTTAGCATAGTAATGAGTGCATATCGAGGGAAGGAAATGAAAGAAATAAAAATCAAGACTTAGCAACTACCTCGGTTAGATGCAATGACTGATGCTGCAGGAAGTATGGTGATAATCACGTGATCACCACTTTCTCGAATCAGACGTACAACAGCATCATGCGAGAGTCGAAGAATACTCCTTCCATTGACAGCCAAAATTCGATCACCGATACAAAGTTTGTCGGACAAGCGCTCTGCTGGACTACCGGGAACAAGACGAGCTGAAGTATGATAAATGAAGACAAGTTTATGTGCAATTATATCAGTCTATACAAATAAAGGCCTGATCAACAATACAATTTGAGAAGAATGCCACGCAAGGAGTAATTACAATGTTGCGATAGAACAACGCTTAGAGTACAGCAATAAAAGCCAGCAGAGCTTCAGTTAAAGGATTTCAAGTGAAGCATGAGATATAAAACTCGAATAATCACCAGGGCTTGCATAGCCTGATATAAGCTTTCTATATCGCATATAGTTTTGCGTGTTTGGTTGCAAAAAATCAAACAGTCTTGTTAAATGTCATATTAACATTAAAAAAGGATCCAAATATTTTTACGCTTCACTTTTTATAGGTGAAGAAAATGCATATTTTTTATAAAGATGAAGAAACAACAAGATAATCAAAGGTCCAAAAGCAATGTCATGCAATGAAGAAGAAATGTTACTGCGATTTGGTCTTCATAACTTCGAAGAAAAGTGAGTGCTTGAAAAATATGGTGAATGATGTTAAACTTTGAAGCTCCATTTTTCAACATTATTTAATGTGATGGAATGCTGTACCCAAGAGTAACTGAGAAAATTCCCTTCTTGGGCTTAATTTCAGACTCAAATAACAAGATGGTTGGAACAATTTGCTTGAAAAATAATCATGTTGCTAGGGTGACCTAGAAGAATAAGTAATAGGAGCACACAGCTTTGAGTATGGAGTCCAGTAAGCAAAGGAAAACGGGATAATTCGAAAGAAGAACAAAGTTGGACACGTATTTCGCAGAGCAAAATGCAAGGCAAGATAAATCAAAATAAAGATAAACGATAATTGGAATATGGAAAATATGGTAGGGTGAAAAAGAGAAGGTAAGTCGACAGAAGGGATGGGGAACAAGCCAATAAACGTGAAGTGAAGGAAAGTTGATGTTTAGAGAGAATATTTAAAATCGTAGAACAACTAAGAAAATTTATCCTTCTATTATTGTTAAGGGTCGCCTATTAAAGTAGAAATAAGTTCAAAAAAAACAAAAAATATCCACGAACCTATAAATTCGCCGGAAGAACCGGCACTCAACATTTCAAGGGCCAGTTTGTCTTTGTCGCAATCTTCAAGAGTAGACGTACTGTCAGATTTAATTTCAGGAAGCGAAGCAGAGAAAATCGGTTCGGTACATTTTTCAAGCCTCTCACCAGCCTGAGAGCTTGCCACAAAAAATCCGAAACCCAGATCACCTTTGACATCACGAAGAACAGTGACATCGTGTACATCCGAGAAACCAATTGAGTGATATAGTTTGGCAATATCAGTGAGTATGCCAGAGCTAGCAGGCCGTGACTAACAAAGCAAAATAGAGCAGGGAAATATTAAATGAATATAGACTTAAATAAAGATGGATGTAAAATTAATGCAGATTCTGCAAAACAGGTGATTCGACAAAAAATATGGTATTATGGCTATTTCTACTTAAATGCGGCGCGATAAGATTTCGTTGTGTTATTCTGCCAAAATGGGAAATAGGAAAAAAGCACTTCCAGAAACAGTATATAAAAGTAAAAACCAATGGATAAAATGAAAAAAATAAAAATAAATATATACATAGTCGTGTTAGTGTAAACATTCATGCAACCATCGAAATAACAGAAGCGATGATATTCCAGCGAATTGAAGAAATGAATGGCTGAAATGTGAATTCAAACCTTCGTAAATGCTTCCTGTTGCAAGTTAGACATTATAAAGGCATGAAATTGTGCGAGAAAACAATGCAACTTGTAGATGGTTCAACCATGGCACCACTTGAGTATCATGAGGCCAAGAGATGAAAAGAGTAGACGATTTGCTGCTCCGACTCCAACGTCCTATCCGGATCTCCTTCATGCGCCTGTAGATCCGTCTCTTGTCTTTCTGGTTGACTGATTTCATTCGGTTCCAGCCCCAATGTACATTTTATTGCAGGAGATATTTTTCAAACCTTCAGTAGCATGTCCACTGTCGCCTCACCGAGCAGAGCGCCTAAGCTCTCATTCACATGTTTGCAGATATCCGGCTCATCTCCCTTATTCAACCCGCGTACCATGACCAAACTGTGAACCACCAAACCATCAAATTGGGAGCAGTTTCCTCGAGCAGACTAGGCTCATTGATAATGTCTTCTCTTCATTTCCAAGTCTTCCTCAGTCGCTTCTTACTTGCGATCTATTTTCGTCTGGCCAACAATAGGCCCTTGATAGAAAATTTCCTTTTTATGATATTTTCGAAACTTCGTTTGCTTCAACATTAGGCGAAGTAATCGCTAGCTCTGCCTTATTATAATCTCTTTTTCATTAAATTTCTTTCTGCAAGGATCTCAATGGCCTCCCTATTTTTTCTTAGTATCTTCATCTTTTTTCTATTGCCTTAAAATTGATCTCGCGTCCAGTCTGTGAAATGTGTTCCACTATTTCTGATGATTTTGTATCCTGCCGAACCTTTGATATTCCTTGATTCGTGTGCTGATTTTCCTTCCTGGCTCGCCGATCTGCTTGTGTTTGCAGACCTCGCATGCTGTACAGTAAACCGCTGGCTAATCCAATTTGTCCACCCTCTCATGTAGTGTAAGTAGACTTGTGAAGAGTTTAGTCTTTCTCCTCGTGGTCGCCTGAATATCATATTTTCTTAATATTGGCCGTATATTTTTTAATTAGTTCGCAGGAAGCAACATATCCACTTTTATGAATATTTCTCCATCTTCACTGTTCTTTCATAATCCCCATGTATGTTTCTTTGTATCACTTCATCCAGGTAACCGCTGTCAAAGAATGTCCGTGCCAATTTGTCGAATTCCAGAATTCCACGTCCGTCAATATTAGGCTTCTAAAGAGCATGCTCCTAACTTTTCCGAGCTTAAATATGTAGTGATGATACTGGAAATTGAGTACCATTACGGCGTATGACTTCTTTCTGAACACTGTACCAAGTCCACGGTCCAACGCTGGGAATTATTAAAGAATCTCAGACAAGATGAATCCAATAAACACACACAACCAACTAGGTATGTACATATGATAGCTATATAACTTTAGTTTAAAGAAAAACGATGAGTACATGAAAATGTTGTGCTCGACTAATCTCTTGCGAATTGAGTGACAGATTTGAACAACATCTGGAAACAGAATAACACTATTTCGTAGAGGCCTGATTTAGATAGATTATCATATTTGTCTCTAGAAAGGAGCATAATTAAAGAAAGTGTCTTATAGAGAGGAAGAGGCACAAAGGCGAAATCAGGATTTGAAAAAGTGCAGGTCCCAAAGTTGATCACGTTATGATCAGCGGAGTTGAAACTTTCTCTTTTGCGCCGCCATATGAGAATTCAGCCGTTTATAAATATGACATCTGGTAATGCGATATTTCCTTTTCTCTCTTCATTTCGAGACATCTAATTTTATATCAAGTTGTAAGGTGGAGGCGTTTTTTATTTTACAGACAGCCTCTGCCCTATTGGTACATTAAAAGTCCCTGCCCATAAATGTATTCCTTATTTAACGTATGTTAAAGAACTGCATACACCTTAGACTTCTTAAGTTTAGTTTCTTACGATGAAATAAGTAAAGAGGGCTTTCGAAGCCATTTAAGTAATTTTAGCTCTCCTTTCTGGGATGGACTGCAATTTCCATTATTCCAAAAGGAATGTGAACACGAATCGTGCAAATAAGGTAACTAGGTTACATGGCCGCCATTGAGCAGAAATGAACATGAAATAGGCCATCCGACTCACATAAAAAAGTGCAGTTAATGTATAAAGACCAAAAATGGATTTATAATTAGACTCGAATAAATTCATAATACAGACCATGCGAAGATCTAATTCTAAGGTGATTAATTAAAGTGATGAAATTATTGATGAGTCCAATTTTTCACATCAAATAGGTAGAAATGTCGTGATATCGGGCCATTTATATCCTATGCAAGATCGAAAGGAGATTCGTAAATTTAGCCTCATTGGTAGCAGAAAAAGGGTTGTCTGAGAGTTGTGCAAAAAAGTCCTTGACTCACGAATATGAGACTCTGAGCTGTCAGCTACTACACGACAGAAATCTTCAAAATTTAAGGCAATGTGTTGATAAAATTCTCAAATAATATCTTATTGCTAATCAGGCGTTTTTCTGCAGTTGTTTGGCTCTAATGTGACATTTAAATCAAAACAATTCACAAAAGATCCTCCCTCGTTTAGATCAAAAAGGACTAAGTTTCCGTCCGTCATATGACAGAGAGAGCAGGCACTTATTTTTGCTAGTTTCAACCCAACAACAAGTCAAAAAGATTATCCGGCTCTCTCGATATGTCATGCATATTCACAACTAAAAACTAAAATACAGTGGATTTCGGTAACCTGGGTTATTTCGGAACTGGAATACTGGCCTTATTAATGAACAGCTTCAAGTAAGCCACTCGCTCTTTAAGTCTTAATAAACCACTTATACAAGTTTTATAACTTTTTATGAAATCTCAAAAGATGGCAATATTAAGGATCTAGTAGAGCCGTCAAACTGCCTACCTTGATCTAAATAGCTGTTATCTTTTATCCTATTTCATAGTAAATTCATTATATTTACCAAATAAACTCTGGTAAAAGGTGTTCTGTAAGGAAATTTTATCTGATTCTTCCACTTTGGGATCCGGATCAGCTAGAGGTACTTTTTATTACCATTACTTTCATGACACCTCTCTTGATAAAACATGTAT